TAATGGCTTGAACTTTAAATCCAGGTTGCACAGTGCACCTGCTCACAAGGAGGCCACCACTAAAAATAGGCACTCACTGTTTAGACTTTATCTGCTCTTGATAGTTCCAGCTACTTTCCTTTTACATTTAACTACTTTAGCCCCAAATATTTGCGTGACAAGACTCCACTAAAAAGCATGTATTATTCAGTTTGACGATGGCTTACTGTATGTTGAATCAATTCTACTGCAAACGGCACCGAATAAAGAGCAATTAAAAGTATTCCGCCAGTCATTTCTGTATTATTGCAATTATCGACTTGAGCTTGACTTCATTATCTTGAAGGCCACTTATTAAAAACATGTATATCAGATGTTTTATTAAATGTTCATGAAGTGTGATTAATCAATTCAAAGGACAATAAATGCTGTTTGGGAGACGAGCAGACGACGTTGTGTAGATTTCCTCAAAGCTAAATAGCAGCTTGGCCGTTAAATGCAAACATTCAAAGTAATTAAACTTAAAGACAATGAGCCGCAAGCTTTGAAGTGATCAGCTTTATATCGAAAACATCTATCTTTTTATTTCTGAAACAAACAAAATCAGCTAATAAACATTATTTTAGTTTGTATGTGAATATGATTAACCCCGTAGCACCCTCGGTTACAAATATGGAGCATAAAGTTCAAAGGTCAACAAGTGGAGAGGGCAGTTCTTTCCTATAATTTGGGAAAATCCTCCTTTATACCTTGAACCAATGTATGAAGCATAGCTCATTCTTCTGTGTTAAGCTATTTAGAAATGGAAAAGCACCGGAACTGAACAATGGCAAGTGTCATAAACTTAACTTCCCATTAACCATATATTTATAAAATGTTACTTACAGTTGTACCACAATGCATTGCTGTATGGTTATGACGCTGGCTGCACCAGTGATATTATATCAGGTGAATAACCCCTGAATAAATTATGTTCATTAACACCATTTAACACCATCTTACCATCAGCCTATGGTAATACGAGCCTTAGATGTTAATAATTTATGAATAATTTGAGACACCACATGGTTTCATTCCAACATAATCAGAAAATATTGATAATTTGTTTCCTATTGTGGTTGGGAAAGAGATGGGAGAATACAAAGGATGATGGGAAGGGGAGTGGAGTAAAAACTAAAATGGGTGGAAATTGTAAATTATTTTTGTTGTGAGTTGTTGCAAGATAACATTATCTTTCCAATGCAAAATCAGATGATGAAAAATAAATTGATTTACAAAAGTGAACGGGAAACAGGTCTTTCCGGGACAGAGGCTGGACCCTGCACTCAAAAAGTTATGAAAAATAGGTCAACTTTCACAGATTTGGCCAAATTTGAGCACATTTTGACTGCCTTAAAACAAGATTTGCCAATGGGACAAAGCAAAATGACCTTGTTTTTAAAAGATGTCTCTCTTGGAATGAGAAATACAATGCATCAGTTCTTGAAATAAGACTAAATAGCTTCGTAAATGAATAGGTAAAGTCAAAATGTCCGCAAATTATGAATACAAACTTTTGATTTAAGCATTTATTACCTCGTTTTTGTCACTTTTTGCAGTATAGGGATTTGCTCGATAAATTGCCAATAGAACAGTTGTAACCAGTTATTTTGAAAAATTAAATATCGGATAGCAACTGAAAATCATCCATACGCATTCAATTTGTGCGCTGATCTCAGGTGGACTCCGGGCAGGGCCAGTGGAATGTGTGTGCGTGTGTGTGTACATGTGTGTGTGTGTGTACATATGCGTATGTATGGTGTATGGGCCCAGCTCCCTCCTGTCCTGAGCCAGTCTGCCACTCACTCTCGGGGCATGCTTCCGACGGGGCGGTGCCAGCGAGCCCGCACGTGCACGCCTCTACCGCCACGTGCACGCGCATACACACATACAGCAGCTCAGCGCTCCTGGCTCCCTCTCCAGCAAGCCCGGGTTAACCCTTCACGCGCTCTCAGACTCGCATCCAGGATGAACAGGTGGTCTCAGAAAACATGGGCATCAATTTCCTTGTGACTTATCCCACTGGGTGTGAGTGTGCGTATGTGTGTGTGTGTGTGTGTGTGTGTATGTGTGTGTGTGTGAGAGAGCGTGAGTATGTGTGTGTGTAGACAAAGAATGAGAGGAGAAAAGGGTGCACTCACATACAGTATGTAGCTTCATAAAGAATCTAAGGTGTGTCGCGTTTGATTTTAGCGAGAAACTGGCAAGAGAAGCAAAATTGGGTTCCGTCCATTCTACTGTATATACTAAATGCATGGATAAAAAAGTAAGTAAAGATATTAAAGGGGCGATCAATTCTTGGGTTTCATTAAACTGGCCAGTAGGGGGCGAATGAGCAGAAGTGGGACGACTCAGTTTTGCTCCCATTGAAAACCCATTAAATCGTGTCTATTTTTGAGTCAAAAGGCTTCGTACATGTCAAAAATCGTACATGTTTTTTGTGGTATAGGGGAAACCGGAGCACCTGGAGGAAACCTACGCAGACACAGGGGAGAACATGCAAACTCCACACAGAAAGACCTGCGCCACCGTGCCGCAGTGTAAAGCTATTGATGATAATGCAATGCCAAAAATGAAGCCAAGGCTGTGACCAAACACCCTCATTACTGCTCAAACCCATACTTGTAATCGTCCACTCTGATTGGCTGGGACCTGCTCTCCCCGCCACACCTTTCCTACATGTGTCCCAGTGTGCGCGTATAGCAGATTAGCAAGCAGCTTGTGTGGGGTCTGGCCCGGGTGTGAAATCCACATCAGATGGTGAGGAGACGCACGCTTCCATCCAGCTTTTCTTTAGCGGAAAACATCCCATCGCCGTGTGTCGCGTGAGTGCATATTAGTGTGTGTTAGCGCGCACCTGACCCCAAACACAGCTGTTAGCATAAGCATCAGACTGGCCTCTTCTGCGCACTCAAACGATCCAGCCAAATGTTGTATTTTTGTTGTTGTGTTGAGTACGTTTGCCAAGCTCTAGAAATCAAAGGTAAAATGTGCGTGGTTGAAGAAGTAATGGTTTGGCTTACAATCTTGCTGGATCCAAAAAGCATGTTTGTATAGCAGCAAGAGGTGGATCCAACAGATCGTGGGGCAAAAAATAAAAAAATACATCCACTTATTTATTGACTTGATTGATTTATTTTATTCATTCAAGCAGAGATGAACATACAATACAATCATTACATGACTTTTTGTACATGTTGTCTACACATTCAAATATATAAACATAAATAGACAAACAAGCTACAGTATTTTCCCCAGTTTTAACATTAAAATTAGAATTTAAATATGTATTTACAAATGCATTTATATTTACTATGACTCGCTATTGTCCAGTTCATAATGGCGTATTTTATTGGTCATTCAATAAAAAACAAAACGATTAAAAAGGTGGTCCCTTGAGATTATCTATAAATTTGACAAGAGGCAACATATTTTGTCCATTCTTTTTTTCATTTTTGTGAAAATTAGATAACTTCTTCAACTGATCTATTGTCTATTGTCCCACTTGTCTTCATCATGTGAGATTTTGTATGGATTAGACTGGAAATTCTGCACACGTGACTGAATTCACTAACAAAATCAAGTATGGACAGCTCTTTAATTAAAATAATAAGACATTCATTAATTGACTCCAAACTCTATAAATTATTTTAAGGTAATTCATGCTGCAGGCTGAAGATAATAGCATAATTATTTTTAAGACAGAAAAAGTCCCCTGTGGAAACGAAGGCAACGTGAACCAGCCCCGACTTGTGCACCTAAACCTTAACAATTTGAAGGCGTTTAAATGATTATGCGAAGTTATTGGTGGAAAAAAAGTGCGGCACCTACGACGGCCTTATCAGTTCTGTGGCAGCGCTGCTTCTCACTAAAGCCCTCTCATGCTGAAAGTTGTTTTAACGCATGCTCCACGAACGCTGCGCAGTTTCAAAAGTGCCTCTTCTGCAGATGTATATTTCACGGCCCACATACAGAGGCCATTAACAACACTATATGACACTTGTGTTATTTACTGTCCACAGCTCTTCTCGCACATTTAATCAAACTGCACTAAAACTCCACCACTCTGAGCCAAAACTACACTATCGCCTTTGTCATTTGTGTCAGAAATATTCACCATGAAGTATTGCAGAGGAGGGCGTTCACCATAGGTCTCAAATGTGTTCAAACTGCCACATATACAAAGTTTTTTTTATTTTTTATTATTATTTTAGTTCTGAAATGCACCTCTTTGATGAATTTGATGGTGTTTCTGAAATTGTGGTACCAAGGCTACAGTGGCACATAGTTTTAGGTTTTCGATTTCATGCCACATTTTTAGACCAGGTGTAAACTAGGCAAACTGGTTAGACTTAGTTTACACCTGGTTTACACCTGGTTTACATCTGTTTTACATCTGCTTTTGACAAAGAGTCTTGAATGAAGTTAATTAAAATTTTAGTGAGGCTCCAAGGGGTAAAAATATCTTCACAATTCAGGTAGCGCTTTCTTCAGACGAGTGTGAAAAGTGAATAATATGTGAAGATATTATGAAAGAATAAATATATCACATTTTGTGTTATACTCTCAGGATTTCTCAAACCATAGCAAGTTTGAGAAATGTACTCGATGTGGCAATGGGAGACATATTTGGAACGTAATCGTGATGGAGCCAAAAAACAACTACTTATGCTTTTTGTAGTTGGTGATTTAAAAGCTTGAACGTTTTTTTCCCCAATGCATATACGATTATCTTGTGTGCTCTGTCACATCACTATCATTTACATTGAGCTCTTGCACCATGGGGAAGCGCGAGTTCAGCCAGCCACATATAAGCCAGTGTGGAAGCGAGTTTATTACTGCACAGCCAGCGGTGAAGCAGTCGATTCACCATCCCCTCCTCTCTCCTGGAGCCGGGAAACCCCTTCTGAGGAGGGGTACACGCGAGGGGGGTAGACTCAGCACTTTCCTTATCTTCTCCCTTGTGTGTGTGTGTGTTCCAGGACTCCGATCAGTGGCCACCAGCAGCAGCAGCAGCAGCAGCAGCAGCAGCAGCAGCAGCAGCGGTAGCAGGCTTAACGAAGCTAAGCACACTGTCACGCTGTCAGAGGGAGCACCCAGCACCCGTGCACTCGCCCCCACCCACCCGCTGTCTGAGGTGACTAAGGGCTTTCGGGGAAGGATCAGCCGGGGTGGGAGGGAGGGAGGGAGGGAGGGGAAGCAGGCAGAGGGAGGAGGGGCAAGCAGGACATGTAGGTGTAGCGAAAGGAAAGGGGAATGAGGTGGCCATAAGTCGTTGTGGCATGTAATTGAGATGTACAACATGCAAGGCCATATTGTCACGTAGCATTGTTAAAAAAGTTTTGGAATCCAAGCAGCACATCAATGCAAATGTGCTGCTAAGTTTGAAATCAAATGCATAAAAAAACTTTATTAAATGGTCTATTCACTCTAAACTAAATTTGGATAATCATGAACAAAGCTGGGAACGGACCTATACATTATCCAGCAATTGTGTATTTTATATTCCTACAACTGACATTTTAAACTTTTTTTAAAAATGGAGATAAACATAAATTTAACAATTACAGACCAGTTTCACTGCTATCTCAATTTTCTAAAATATTAGAAAAATTGTTTGTGAAAAAATTGGACAGCTTCATAGATAAAAATAAACTATTGAATGAAAGTCAGTATGGATTTCGGTCCAATAGGGCGACAAGCTTAGCCATAATGAAAATTGTAGAACACATATCAACAGCAATTGACAAAAAGAAATACACAATCGGAATTTTCATTGACTTAAAGAAGGCTTTCGACACAATAGACCACTCACTTCTCATCTCTAAACTTTACACCTATGGAGTGAGGGGAGTGGTGCTGGATTGGCTAAGCAGTTACTTACATCAGAGACAACAGTTTGTTCAGTTTGATGGCCACAGGTCACAGAGCTTGAATATTAAATGTGGACTTCCACAAGGCTCAATTTTAGGACCCAAATTATTTATTTTATATATAAACGATATCTGTGAGGTCTCAAACATTTTTCAGCATGTATTATTTGCAGATGATACAAACTTCTTTTGCTCAGGAGATGATTTAAAATGTTTAGCTGAGGAGGTTAAACTGGAATTAGTTAAACTAAATTTGTGGTTTAATGTAAATAAATTATCCTTAAATTTGACAAAAACAAAGTTTATGATATTTGGCAATAAAATAAAACCGGAAGTTAGAATATCTATTAATGATGTAAATATTGAGAAAGTGTCGGAAATTAGATTTCTTGGAGTGATCTTGGATGACAAACTAACTTGGAAATCACACATAATGCATGTAAAAAATAAGGTATCTAAAAGTTTATTTATATTGAATAAATCAAAACATTTGTTACCATGTAACACTTTGAGAATGTTATATTGCTCAATGGTACTTCCTTATTTTAATTACTGTGTAGAAATATGGGGTAATACTTACAGCACCAACATACAGCCTTTAGTTCTATTACAGAAAAGAGCCATTCGAATTGTTTATAAAGCTGGATTTAGAGATCACACTAATCCCCTTTTCATTAGATCAGGACTGATTAAGTTTAAGGATATAGTAGAGTTACAAACTTTATTGATCATGTTTAAAGCCAGTCACAGAGCTCTTCCAGAAGAGTTACAACAGTTATTTGTGTTTACTTCAGAAAAACAAAATCATAGAAGGAGATATGACTTCAAACATCCAATAGCACGAACAACTTTAAAACAGATGAGTTTATCTGTTGTTGGAGTAAAATTGTGGAATTCTCAAGAAAAAGACTTACAAAGTTGTAAAACCATTTTAGAATTCAAACAGACTTACAAGAGGAAACAAATCCAAATCTACAAAAGTGATGTTTAATTACGTGTTATGTTTATTATGACATGTATGTGCGGGTATGTATAAGTATGTATGTGTATATATGTATGTGTGTTGTATGTATGTAGGTATATATATATATATATTGTATGTGCTTATATGTGTTTATAAAGAAGGCAGAGGAATCAGCAGCAAAACCATATAATTTTGTTTTGTAAAAGAGGGGGCAGAATTATATAAGAATAATATTCTTCTATCTGCTCCTTTCTGATCATGGAAATGATTGAATGATTTGTTTGAATGATTTGAAACTTGTATAATTATGCATTTTCATGAAACGAATAAAAAGAACCTAACCTAACCTAACCTAAACTTTTGTTAGAAGTAGTAAGAATGGTTTTATATAGCACTTTTTGGTATACACAAAAAAACACTTTACATGGCATTATTCATTCACTCTGTGCATGCTGGTACTAAACTAGTTGCCATAGCCGTCCTGGGACAGACTTATGCTCGCAAGGCAACTAATCAGTGCCATCAATCACCACCTTCCGATTAACCACCAATCATTCCCACACACACACCAAACTCATACGAGGGACTGTGTGGTAAATGTCTTGCCAAAGAACACAACAGCTTGGCACTTTACAGCCATAGCCATCGTAATTTAATGTCCATCTACAAATTCACAAACGTACAACTTAGATAACACAGTTTAGAGCAGCACAACTTTTTACATAAAAATACATGAACACTTTTGACACAAACTAATGCTATGCTAACACTGCTATTGCAATTCAAACCATTAGAATAGTAGTAAACTAACCATGGTATGATCTCATCTTTGTGGGGTGACCACGAATGAATCACTAAAGCAGTATTTTTTTTTTCACTGAACACACACATGCACACACACACACACATTTGAATGGCATGGAACATTTGGCCCATGTAGGACGTCCGTTATGGATCTACAGAAGGACTGCATTGGCATATCAACAGATTATACCTACTTAATCCCAAATCACTTATCCACCCTTCAAGTGCAAGCCGGGTGCCTCCTGTCTCCTGTCTGCTATTCATGTTGGACACATCACTTACAAAGACCTCCACTTGTTTCCACCTAAAGAAAAACAACTCATTCTTGCACAAATTCAATGTCTGAGAAAACCTTGACGAACTTTTTTTGACCGACTGGAGTGACCGGATCACTGCCCTAAAGGAGAAAAAAAGGTGAGTCCACGCCCCGGCTTCACGCCTCGCTGTTACAAATGCTTTCGCCATTATCTCAAACATATCTGGCTGAGGTGCGTAGAATGGCGTAGCGTGACCCTCTGATTTATTTCGATGATATTAAAGCAAAGATTGACTGTCCTGATTTGTAAACGCTGCATGCCTAGCTGAGTTGTCTCCTAGCACCTTCCCCGCGATCCATCCCCTTTGCTAAATTTGGACCTTGACGCTGAAATAGATTTGCAGTAATTTACATGGAAGTGGGAGGATGGATACATGCGTGTGCGTAAAAAGAGGAATTATGATGAGACGATATGTTCAAATAATTTAGTGTATGCATAATTTACCCATGTGATTCTTTACAACCTTTGCGGGGGAAAAAAGTTTTGGAGGACTTTTGTTATTCAGGGTGTTAAATATTGTCTCAAATTAATGTCAAAGGAGTCGTTATGCTCAACAGATTTTCCACTTTCTCCTCAGTGTGTTTAAAAACGTTGTCTTGGCAGTTTCGTCGCCAACGATGATCAATATAGGCAAGGCGAGTTTTTTTGCATAGCGCAATTCATTCACAAGGCAACTTAAAGTGCTTTACAAAACAAGAAAGCAAACATTACAATCGCACAAAGTTAATCTCAGTAAAAACACAGAGAAACTACAACTGCTTTACCCCTTCACAAACTCATTTATTTATTTTGATTTACTGATAAAAAAATAGAAAATGACACTAAAAAAGCATGTATTGGTCAATAAATCAGTAATGTAATTTTCATTTGCATTGAGAATTGTATCAGAGTATCTCCTGTGCTAAAACCATAGACTGTATATATTAAAGGACAGAGTCACGCCTATCTCCCCCGTTCTAACTGATGGGCCAAAAAATGTGCTCTACTGGAACAATCCAAAATGGCCGCGAGTGGTCCCACCCACAAGAAAATTGTGAAAAAACGCATCTGCGCATGCGTCAGCCGGCGCAGCTCCATTAATTTGAACGAGAGACTTCAAAAATTCAAAGCAAGTAAACTAGAGTGGACCAAAAAAATTCACCCCCCTCAGCATTGACACACATGTGGAACGGAGCTTTGGGCCAAGAGCCGACTTTTGGTCCATCCTGTAAAGACGTTTTCGAGACGTCTGCCAACGCTATATGTTAGCATTGGCTAATTCTTCTTTTGGGTCCACCCCCATCGGCCCGGGGTGGTATTGCAAGCATGTCAGCGCAGATCATTTTGGCCACTTTTGAGCTGGGACCTGCCCCCACTGGCTAAAACGAATACTTATTTGTAAAATACTAAAACAAAATGTCCACAAGTATATACAAAAACGTTATAAATGTCTTCCTTCAACGGCTTACTAACGGCTTTGATAGAAAATCAAACCTGAGAGTGCCCATATTTTATTTATGTATCAAAAGTGCGGTGAAAAGGAGGGCATGGCCGATCGGGGGGAGGGCGTATCATTCTCCCCCCGAGGTTGATATCGCTCCATCGGATCAATTCTCGCACAGGGAGGGAGGCTGTAGGTAGAACGCTGGCTGAAGATGGCGGAGGTATTGATCCGTCAAAGAAATACAGCGTTGCGTGTTTTGTTTAAATGTCCACATAAACCTGAGCTGTCAGAGGGTGGGAGGGCATGGATCCAGATAAGATGGTGTGGATTTTCTTCTATATATGTGCCATGATGCGTCAGGAAATGAAATATTGGAATTGTGTGAAGCAGAGGTGATGATTTGGAAGCACAACAGCCTTTAACACTAGGACTCCCAGAATTCTGAAATGACTTGAACTCCTAGAGACGTCAATGGAGTTCTGAAAATTCCCCCCAAAAAATGTTTAGTTTTCCTCCAGATTTATTCAAAGTAAATCATTGCTTCTTATTATGCCAAAGGTAGATATTTTATACTTCTACTCCCACTACTTTTTTGATTGAAATTGGCTTGTGACAATATCCTTGTTTTATGATATTATAATTATGAATACCTGTGCATGAAAAATGAAAAAAAATACAATTCAAGTTTTGTGCTTAAGCAGTTGTACATCTTTGGGTTGCGTAACGACCGACTTTGTCCCATCTCATCTTGAACAG